ATAAAAAATATTATGTTATAATATTAAAAATTAAAATTTATCAATTTTATAAATGAAAGTTCAAAGTTTAATTTTAACGTTGACGAGTGCCCTTGGCATTGCTCATCAATTTTTGCCCTCACCAGGAGACGTCATTGTCAAAACTTTAATGTATTGGAGATTTCAAGGCACACATTCCAATGGTTACTGAGCTCTAGGCCCTCACCGGCCGACGATGTCAGACGCTGGTAATAATTGTGCAAGCTGGCATTTTCTGTTTTTTATGGACCAATAATGATTTTCTCTGAATTATTTGTCCTACTTTCACAGAAGGTTGATCCCTGCTCAGCTTTGCTTGCTTGAGGTTGAAAGGCAAGCAATTCCATTGACATTTTGAAAACGGGGCCATGACATTGACAAGAGGGAAAGGAATCCGAAACAGACGAAAATATCTGAGAATAGAGAAATAATAGCGCATGAAAATAAAAAAATCATTAGATTATATTAAATTATAATAATAAGAAATCAAATTAACATAATTACAATATTATTTTGTAATATGCACGTGACAATATCACAGGCCTATATTACACTAATTTAGATAGCTAAGTAAAAGATTTTGTTATAAATAAAATTATGGTGAATGATTGTAAAAAATAAAAATAGAATTATAGACAAAACTGGAATGTATTAAAATTTTAAATGCATGGGAAAACTTGTTCAACATTACTTTTTACTGTTTAAAATGATGATGATAACTTTATAGTCGTTTGTAATTGAGTGACATTTGTTGTGCATCCTGGATAATATCCTCTTAATTTTTTCATCAATTTACACACAACTTTGAGTTTTTTTTTAATAAATACAAAATTTTAACAATTTAAAAATTATTAAAATTTTATATAAAATTTTTTTGTTTAAATGATTTAATTAAATTCATCTTAATCATTGACTTTTTAATTTAATAATTTAAATTTAAATTATTTAAAATTAATTTTATTTTATTTTTAATTAAATAAAATTTAATTTAATTAAATTTTATCTGTTAATTATAATTTTGTTATCTTTTAAATTTTTTATTACAAAATTTTAACCCATTCCTATCTCATATATCAATTTTTTACCCCATCAATAAATGTCAATGTTATATCTCTGCAGAAAACGGGGCATGAGGTTGAAGGGCAGGCAATTCCCATTAACATTTTGAAAACGGGGCTATGATATTGACAAGAGAGAAAGGAATCCAAGGCAGAGAAAAATATTTAGGAGAAGAAAAACGTACAATTGTGACTTTTTTTTTAGCGTAAATTTTTTTATAAAAAATATAATTAATTTTTTACAAATATTTTTACCATACCGTAGAGGATGAGGAAAGGGCCTCGGGGGTGTTAAACTTCAAAGGTGATAGAGGTGGGAGCGGTTCTATTTTTATTATAATTAAAATTTTAGATTTCGAATTTTAATAATTATTTATTAAATTAAAAATATAAATTTTATTAATTTCAATTATATTTTTAATAGTAAATCATTCAAAATAATTTTAGTTTTAATTAAAAAATTATTTTTAATAATTTTTTTGGATCAACAAATAAAAATGAATTTTATTACTGAGTGCTTCTAATTTTAATATAATTTTTAAATACCAAAAATATAATACCAAAAAAGATGTCGTGTAATGTCAAGACAAATTAAGAAGAAAAATCACGGGAGAAAG